TTGGGGGGGGGGGGGTCTTAGAACCAGAAAAAAGCCAAATCATACACTAAAAGTCAAACGCCTACTATAACATATTCTAATTTTATTACAAAAAATATTTTTGCATGATTTGTGTTTATGTACTGTATATTGAGGTGACTGCATAATAACTCAAAAATAAATTCTTAGTCTTTTATACTGTGTGGGGGGTGGTGGGAGAGTATGGGGGATGTGTATGGTGGGGTATGGGGGGAGCTTGAGAGGGGGCATGGCTGTGGGGGCACAGGGTGTGTGGTGTGTAGCTCTGAAACATACTGGCCTCTGGAACACGGTCCTCTCCTGCAGTCAATGCAGGCAACACTTGCAGGGGGTGGGGTGTGTGTGTGGTTTGTAGGGTGTGAGGGAGGGTGGCAAGGATGTGGGGACATCCTCCCCCCCCCACACACACACACACACTTCCTTCATGGCACAGCAGTGAGTTGGGGCACTGGTGCCTGGTTCTGGCCAGTGCTGCACATCACAGCAAAGAGTGTAGCCACTGCCAAGCCGTTTGTTTCCCTGGTACTGCCTGCAGTCATGGGGCACAGGAGGGAAGCCCCAGGTGCCACTTTCCCCATCCCAGCCCACTCCACTGCCTGAGGCTTCCCTCCTGTGCCCCATGAGTGTGGGAAGTGCCAGGGAAACAAACAGCCCAGCAGGGGTTGTGCTCCTTGCAGCACTAGCCAGAGCCAGACAACAGCACTGAGCAGAGTTCCCCACCCTACTCTCCCCCTGCTGCTGCTGCTTCCCCCTGCTGCCTGCCAGGGCTGTGTGTCATAGGGAGAGGTGTGTGTGTGTGTGGGTCCCCATACCTCTCCCCCCCTCACACCCACACCTTGCCTAGCTGAGCTCCATGCCGCTGACGCCCCACTGGGCGAGGGCTCCACGCTGCTGCCAGCCCCAGCTCTACGCTCTGTGCTCCCACACAGCTGCAGCCACACCCCCAGCTCCTCTACCTACTGCCAGGAAGGACCGGGATGCCAGGAAAGCCTGCAGCAGCAGCCCTCCCCATGCTAGCAGGCCCAGCCCTTCCGCCCATAAGGGTGGAAGCGAGACATAACAGAATATGTTGGGGGCGGGTGTAGGCACCTCACTCCCGCCCTTGTGGGCAGAAGTGCTGGGTGGGGTACAATTCACTGGTGGGGTGCTGTAGGCCAGTTCAAAGTGCCTGGTGGGCTGGATCCAGCCCACAGTCCATATTTTGCCCGCCCCTGCCATATACAACTTCCAATAATAAGCATAACGCTTCCAAGTCCAGGGAGATACAGGTGTGAACTTAACCCAGCACTTCCCTAGTGGCAATGCATAGTGCTACCCTGCATCCATTCATTTCAGAAAGTTAAAACCGGTTGATATTGCATGAAGTCACTGTAACTCAGTGTGGGGGGTCCTTTAATCATTGGAAGTTAGCATCCTTTTCTAACAAACTGTGGAACGTCCCAATAGAAGGAAGGAACTAATATATTTTAATAAAAGAAAAGGAATAGAAAAAAACAGCCCCCATCTACCCATCAGTACATTAAATCACATGAAGTAATCTTACCTGAAGTTGTGCCCAAAGTTCCCTTGCTTCCCTGTCTCCTGAATTCTTTTCAATCATATCCATTTGGGGCTGGATTCGCTGAGTGGCAAAAAAAGTCACCCAATCATTCTGCCAGTCATTCACCTGGAGGATAAGATCAAGCACAGGTTCCATAACACAAGAGAGAATACCAAATTAAAAAAAAAAAGTTTTGGGAATACAGTCTCAGTTGATAACTTCCAAGACTAGATAAATGTCCCAACATTTGGGGCCAAATTAATTCCTGGTATACCTTCACTGAAATAAAAGAGCTTCTAAACAAAACAACATCTTACACTATCCCAGCATTTCCTTTTTTAGCATTAAGAAAATGAGGTGCAGAGTCTTTAAGTGACACACACAGATCCCCCAAGAATGTACGGTGGCAGCAGGTATCAATGGATTAAATAAATTCAGAGACTAAACAAAACCTACCTGGGGGAGATAACCACAACAGGTGACCGTATTAAAGCCAAACTGATCCACAAATTGGACATCTGTTTGCCCTTGACTCTTACCTTTCAAACATAAAATCACAGAGAAAAACACTAATTATAAAGATTTAGTATCTGCAATACAGGTGGGCCTTAAATCAGATGAAAATATAGTAATTTCCATTATTGGAAACAGACATTTTGCACCTCAGTACTCTTTTTACTATGATTTCCATTGAATTAAAAATATGACAAAAATATGCAAGTGTCAAACTTAATTATTTAAGCTAGTGTTATACCTCCTCTGAAACAAGGCAGTTGTGCACAATGGTGCAGTGGGATGAAAAGCAGGGATTCCAAATCAAAGAAATATTTTGTCTGTTAGAGAGATAACTATTTAAATATAGCGCCAAGCCACTTTTAATTATAACACAAAAAGCAATTTGTTCTAAATCTGTTTTCATGAGTGTTACTGGAGCAAAACAGATGTTCCCTAAAATAACAAAGTCATTTTAGCAACTGCCTGTTTTGCAGATTATTAACTAGATTAATGTCACTAAATTCATCGACAGCTGTTTACTGTACCAACTGTGTTCCCCTCTTTCTTCAGCCTCTCTCCAATTTTCTGGTTGTGAAGATGTAGGTCAGCCAACTGTTGTCCAAGCTTTCCTGAATGTCTAAAAAGCCAAAATAAGTTCTTTTATTATCACTGAAAGACACAGTAAGCAGTGAATTCACAGCCTGATATACATGAGTAATTCTCTGTGTTTGCCCAGCATGTGGAAAACTTCCTTCTCTGGGAACAGAGACATCTTTTTAAACATTTTTGGGGGTGGGGCAGGGAGTAAAAGCATAAGATACTGACAACCGCACTTATGGGGCTATTTCTGCCAGTATTACCGTGAACTGAAATGAAAATGAAGAGAAACCACAACTTCATCACCATAAACTGTAGGAAGGACATGCACAATACAGCTTTTATACATTTGATTATGCTCTATAGAGGAATAAATGAGTAGGATTCACCTGGCTCTCTCAACATCAGGGAACCTGGAATACTGAAGCAAGACTGTTCTCACTCTCTAAAGGATGATACCAATTCTCTAGCACCTTCTACACTTGCTTCAGTCCATCCTTATGTTAACTTCTTCCAGATGTTTCTGCTATTATGGAGCCTAACTCTCTCTCAAGATCAATGTGTTAAGTGTCACTTGCATACTTTTCCTGTGCTGACATCTCTCCAAGAATACAGGGATCAGCAGGTGGGCAAGATAAGGGGACATGCATCCTGGTTCTAGCACTGCTCAGAGCAGACTGGTAATGCAGGCAGAGGCTACATAACAATTCTGTGGCTGCCTGCTTGATGGGCTCCCTGAGCTGGCTAGAGGCCCCAAGCTTGGTGTGGGAAGAAAGTAAATTGAATTCCCTGATGGAAGCAAGGATCAGGCTCCAACACAGTGGTTTTACCCTGGGTCTTCGGTGCGGGGGAGGGACATAAAGCAAGGACCATAGATGTTAAGCTACCAATATTCACAACATGAATGCCTTCTTGCCTGTTTTGGGAAGTTTCATGCATACCCCTATTGAATTGTAACAAATATTTAAATAGGAATGCTATAAGTCCTCAAAGATGCAACCCAGGAGATTAGGGGTTGGCAACTTGTAGTCTGCAGGCTAGATCCAACCTGGTGGTGGTAGACTTCAGGCACCACGGTGATGGGGAGAACAGGTAGTGGTGGCACTGCAGTGGGAGTGGTGACTGATGTTCTGGCTCCAGCGCAAGCTGGGTTGAAATTGGCCTGTGCTTGGAGCAAAGCCTTATTAAAGTGGCCTCCCACTGCAAAACACTGCCAAACCCTGTACTAAATCGTCTCATCTGAGTCACTCTCACCACCAACTCTCAAGATCCTTGCTGTAAATACCTTAATTTTTCTTAGCTGAGGAATGAATTGCTGGGTTAAGTGCTGTGACACACCACAGAATGCTGTATTCAGTTTTAGTTTTTAATGGGTCGGAGACAAGAAGGGAAGCATCAAAATGTATTTCTCCTCAAAAACAAACAACATGAAGATCACACAAATCTGAATGCCTGACAACATGACACTGTCAAAATTTACCTGTTTAAACCCTTCATTTCCAAGTGCTCCATCACAAACAGTGTGGTGCCCCCTGGCAAGTCTATAACTTTGATGGGTTTGGGGACCTTTATTGTCTGGGTTTTCAGGAGAGCTTCTAAACTTGCCATTTCTCCCTCAAACATTCTTCTAGCCTGTTAAACACAAAAGAAAAGGATTAGTCCCCAGGAACACCGTTAGCAACAAAATGAAGATGTTCCTCTGGGCAAACCATATCTGAACCTTTTTTTGGTGTGAGCATATACAAGACAAAGGAGGGTCCACAGTTGGGTTGCTTATAGTATAGTCAACCTACAGTTTTAAGAACAACAGAATTGGTTTCTTTCCTATACGCCTACCCCTAATGAAACAGCACATCTTCCAGCATTCCGCATTGTCATATAAATAACTCAACAACTGAATCAAAGCCTGGTTTCTTTCCATTCATTTTATACACATGCTTACTAATCAAAAATTCCAAATTAACGTGATATACAGCAGGGATGTCAACCATGTGGCTTGTCTGCCACATTCAGCCCACAGAGCCTGTCTCTCCAGTCTATCGAGCTACTGGAAGCACCAAATATTGGGGCCTTTAGCCCCAGTGGGCATGGCCATTGGTGGTGAGCTTGGCTTCCCCACCGCTGCAACCTGCACTACCCTTGCTCCCACTGGATCCCATGAGTTTGTCACCGCTGTGGTGGCCACTGCTGCAGTCCTCATGCCCCAGGTTGGATTTGACCTGCAAGGAATCCCACAGTCTGGATCCAGAATAAAACCCCAGGTGAATGTGGCACCCTGATATATAGGAATAAGTGTAAAATTAGTTGCAATGTATGTCAGGAAAAAATGAAAGAGTGTGCTGGGTACTGATAATCTATGTGGCTTTGCGCACACAGTTCCACCTAGAAATACTAAATTAGCTGTTGCTGTGCCTTGAATTTATGTTTCTGCAGAAAATACAAATAATTACATTGTGCCGAACCTGTAACCTGGGATGTTCTTTTAAATGAGAATGCAGGGGCCAGCTCTGCAATCATCATTTATGTTTAGAACTTATTCATCTGAGCTGCTCCATTGATTCCAATGGACTAGTTGTGTGAGTAAATGGTATTTAAAGAGTAAAGTGTGCAGAAGGCAGCCCATAACCAACAGTATTTGCTAAAATCACTAACAAAACCAATGAATAAAATATCAAAAGATTACGTTGGATAGAAATACAGGAATAAGAATCATCAAATAAGCCACAGGTCATGTTGATTACAAACTCCCTGAATGAAAGAGAGCAAGAATGAGAATTTCTAGACTATTAATGAGTCTGAAATTTTGCTTTAGAAATAAAATGATTTCTCTTTCCAAAACATAGCTCCTAAAATATTGCTGTAGACAATAGCTGAAAACAGGCTTATAATGGAACTGCTGATGTATTCAGTTGCTGTGCACACAGCACAGCATTTTTAATGCAATTAATGAAGGCTGCTTTCGTCAGCACTCTGTGTCTATAGATGCATGGTAAAATTACAAAACAATGACTACTGAATAAGAAATTTATCCAGGTCCTTGGTATTTACTCAATACATCTTTCTCCCAGCCAAGCATGCTAGAAGAATTACCTGCCAACTGTACATATATGTGTGTGTGTATGTGTGTGTGTGTTTGTGTGTGTGTGTGTGTATATATAACTGGGGGGGGGGACAGGGAGGTCCTAGATTGTTCTGTATAAAGCTACTACATTGACTGCAAAGCAAACAGCTCTTTCAGTACCTTTGCTGGGGGATCTCAACACACTTAGGTTTCATGGATTTCATAGACGTTAGAGCTGGAAGGGACCTCCGAAGATCATTGGGTCCAGCCCCTGTGCCCAAGGGGCAGGAAGTCAGTTGGGGTCAAAGGATCCCAACAAGATAAATGTTCAAATGTTTCCTGAAAGTGTCCAGAGTAGGTGCCTGCACCACCTGTGGGGGAGTCTGTTCCAGGCCTTGGGGGCTCAGACAGTAAAGTTTTTCCTTATGTCCAGCTTAAAATGGTGTTGGAGGAATTTGTGACTGCTGGAACTTATCATCCCCTGGGGTGCTCTGGTGAACAGGTGTTCCCCCACATCCTGATGCACACCCCTGATGTACTTATAGGCTGCCACCAAGTCACCCCTGAGCCTGCACTTTTCCAGGCTGAAGAGTCCCATAGCTCTCAGCCTCTCTTCGTAAGACCTATTCTCTTGCCTTCTGATCATGGGCATGGCTCTCCTCTGCACTCTCAAGCTTCTCCATGTCCTTCCTAAATTGTGGAGCCCAGAACTGGATGCAGTACTCCAGCTGCGGCAGCACCAATGCTGAGTACAGCAGGAGGGTGACTTCCTGAGTCTTGCTCGAGATGCATCAGTAGATGCAAGCCAGAGTTTTGTTCACTGGAATGACATTGTTACCCTGCTGCTCATATCACCAACCATGAATAAGGAGACAGGTCTGAAACGCATAGCTGGACACCTTTCACTTCTTTCAGTAGCGGTATTACTGGCGAATGCACAAGCTGCATCCGTGTGTGCATCCACATCTCTCTTTCCTCAGCCAGGGCCCAAAGCAAACATACTCTTCAAATATCTTCCTCTGCCTTTCCCCACTGCCCAAAGGGTCGCAGCATTACCCAGACGTCCCACTTAGCAGTGCCAAGCCTCCCACAGTGGTTCGTGCCCAGGGCTGAAGATGATGGCACAGAAAGTCAACACAACCACAGAAAACTCTGAGGACGTTTCACTTAAGTGCAGGCAGCTGGTGACTGACATTTGCCTGGAAGAAGGAAGGCACGGCTTTATCTTTCCTAGCCTGCTCCAGACCCCTGCAGCGGGGTGACAGTACCTGACAGCGCCCCTCACCTGCTGGCCCAGTGGATGTCAGGACGGCACCGGCTGCAGTCTGCAAGCGCTGGCCCATACCGACGGGCCACCTGCTCGCCCCACTGACCCACTAATGCCCCCGCACCCCAGAGGGCGGTTCCTGCCCCTCCAGCGCACCGCACCGCACGGCCCGGCCGCTTCCCGCGCCACCCGCATCGCCTGGCCCGGGGCGAGCATCGCGCGGCAGAGCCTGGAGGCCGAGTCCAGCCCCCGCACCTCCGCCTTCGAGTTGCTCTTCACGAAGACGCGGCCGCGGTCGGTGTCGTAGCTCTGCCCCTGGCTGATGCAGCCGCCGCCCGAGTGGCCCGTGGGCCGCAGCCACACTGTGCCCAGCTCCCGCTGCAGCGCCGCCTCCATGCCGCCGCCGCCAGATCGGGAGGCGAGACTGCGCATGCTCCGAGCGCCGCACATGCGTCCTGGCAACAATCGAAACCAATACCCTCACCCACTCTCCAACTGCGGAGGAAACACTGGGGAGGCGGGCAGCTCCAGCCTGAGCTGCAGGGGGCGCCACTGCGCCCATGAGGGGTGGGCGTGGCCAGGAAGGAGAGGAGCGCTCATTGGCGTGGCGACGGAAAGGGGCGGGAAACGCGCGTTTCTGGTTGCTTTCGCCCCACGCAGGTTTCCTCCTTGTCGGGAGCACCTCGGGATCCACGAGGAGTGCTGCCACTCCTCCTCGGACGGGATTTCCGCCTCACGAGGCATGAGATTCGGGGTCCCTGCACTTTTTCGTTAGTGCTACGTGCAGCCAACTTTAAGGGATGTATTTAGTGTTGGTCTGAGACAAAAAGAAAAACAAAACTCCAGATCTCTTGGTTCAGAGATGATACCTTGCAGAAAAAGACGGTTTATTTTTTTTTTTCAGTTTCTTAGTTGGTTTAATAAAAGGGATCATCCATCTCTTTCTGAACCAAGAGCTCTAGAGTTTTGCATTTCCCAATTTTAAGAGTGTTTTTGCTCCAGGAATTTCCTCAGTGTTTCAAAATGTTGGGAGTCTCTGGGTAGTTGAAAGAGATGTCCCCAAGAGGAGCCGTGTGTTGTGGCGCAGCTGATTTGCTTCGCCAGGTGAAAGGCATGTTGCCCTTTGTCCCACCCTCGATGGCAGGGGACACAAGTCAGGCTGTATCTCGCTGCTGCCCCAAGCCCACCTGTGGGACAAAGTGCTTCTACCCTCAGCCCACACCATGGGGCTGGCTGGTGGGGGGAACAGCACGTCCCCTCTGCCCAGCTCCCTGGGCCTGGGGCCATGGGGGACACTGGATGTTCCCCAGCCCAATGCAGGTCTGGGGCAATGGGCAATACTGGGCATCCCTGCCCACTTCCCCCACAGCCCACTTTGCAGGACTGGTTGAGCAGGGGGCATGCTACACAGGGTAACAAATCAGGATTTCTGGTAGAGGTCTTTTATTAGACCAAGATTTTGGCAAAGAAGTCTTCAGTTGCAAGCTTTTGGGCACAAACACCTTTCATCAGGCATTGGAGAAAAGATTGTAAGAGTTTTCCTGGGTAGAAGTGAAAGTTCATATTTCATAGAATTTCACAGAGGAGTCAATAGATGGAAAACTCCTGGCAGACTCCATACCAGCTATGAACTGACTGTCCAGAGGAGTTTTCCATCTATTGACTCCTCTGTGAAATCTTATGAACTATCATTTCTACCCAGGAGAACTTTTACAATTTTTTCTCCAATGCTTGATGAAGGCTGTTTGTGCCGAAAAGCACGCAACTAACAATAATTTTTTGCAAAAATCTTGTTGGTATAATAAAAGATATCATCTCCACTGCAAGTCCTGATTGTTTTTTCCTCTAGAGCAGGGGTATGCAAGATCTTTTTTGGCTGGAGTGCCAAAAAACACCACAATGCCTACCTTGGAAGGCCAGCAAGCCAGAAAAACAAAATGAGGGCAGGGGGTACATGGCAGGATGCCCTGCTTGTGCCCCTTGCCCCTGCTCCCCAGCCCAGGCTCTGTGGCTGTCAGCAGCTACCCCGGCTCTGGGTAGCTGCTGGAGCCCGGGCTGCTGCCAGCAGGGCTTGCAGTGTCCCAGCTGCCTGCTGGGAGCAGCCCCAGCTCTCAGCTGGCAGTAGCTACCCAGAGCTGGGGCCGGCTGCAGCCAGGAAGCTGCAAACAGCTGTGCCAGGCTCCAGAGCTCAGGCATCAGCTCTGTACCAGCAGGTGCATGTGTGCCTCAAAGCGGGACAGTGGGGGAGGAGCCTGAGGCAGCGTAACCCCTGTCTCTCCCCTGCTGCTGACACAGAGCTGGTGTGGAGCCTGGCACAGCTATTTGTAGCCAGCCTGGGCTCTGGGCAGCTGCAGCAAGCAGCAGGCAGGCTGCGAACAGCTGCGCCAGGCTCCACAGTTCTGGCATGAGCTTTATGTGGCGGCAACTGCACGTGCACCTCAGAGCAGATAGGTGTTTCCTGAAATAAAGCAGCAGAATCTATTATTACCTTTTGTTGCACCACTGATTTTTCTGTCAGATGGCACAATAAAGGGCATCAACATCTAACTGCTCTGCATTTATGCCATCTTAAAATGTTTTTAGACAATGTCCATGTCCACCATCTGTTTACTGGACTCAGTGCGTGGCATAGTTTTTTCACAGCTGGGGTCCTCTGTGAGGATCTTGGACAAGAACAGCATTTGGTGGTTGGAAAGGAATAGTGGTTATTTCCACACAGGGCTTCCTGCTTCTCCCCTGCTCCAAAAAACAGAAGACTTGAGGGGCTTTTTAACCATTCCAAATTGCTCCTTAGGTTTGCAAGCCTCTGTAAGTTTACTGCGTGATATTGGATAGCATTACTAGAATTTAAGTGGGGAACTTTATGATTACCTAGTCTGACCTCCTACAAAGCACAAACTAGAGATAGTCACAGAATTAACTTAACTGTAGTGAAAATATCAAGACCAATTAGTTGTGCTGGAACTAAAATATATGTTTTGTGAAAGTTGGGGTTAAAAAGCCTAATTTGACTTCTGGGGAGGGGATGAGATAATACAGAAGACTTAGCCCTGTGGACTTTGTACAAGGAGCCTGGGAAATGGCAGGGCTTTTCACACCCTTGGAACTTCTCTGTGAAGGGCGGACAGCAGTAGGAGCAGAGGAGTGTCATTTCTACAAGTCTTCCCCTCTCACTGCATTCTTTATTTTCTCAGTTTTAGTCCCTTGATCTCAATTTTGTTGCCAAGACTTTTACATTCCTCTACAGAAATAATAAATAGTAGCAAACAGAGAGGGGGCACATACCAGGGTACAAAAACTGGCTTGCCTAGAGACTGATTCTTCCCTTTCTGTGGTTCCAAGCTATATGGATAAAAGACACCTGAGTAAGAGTGAGCTGAGACAGGTGGAGTGGCAAGTGGGCAAGGTGTTATTTTTCTGTATAACACAAGGAGCTCTAGGAACATAGAGGCTGAAGAATTAGGAGACTCAGGAGAAGTGTCATGCAAGTAATTTCTTATTGAGCAGTACTTTCCACTTTCCCATTTCTGGTTCTTAAGTTAATCAAGTTACAAACAGATTGGTTACTCCAATCCAAATTCAAAGGACGCTAGAAAATAGAGCTCAGAATTAAACTTTTCATTCAGTCTTAAATATGGCGTCACAGCATGTTCCTCCATAGTACAATCACTGAATATGGCAAGCAGTAGTAGAGAGTGTTTTAGTACTGTATCTTATGGTAATGAAGAACAATTAGCCCTGCATTTTGGGGAATGAATTGGATTGCTGTATTCCTCACTGACAATGTAACATAAAAAGTGTTTGCCTATTGACCAAGTTTCAGGGGTAGTCTCATTAGTTACATGGCAAGCATAAACTAAAGAAATGGGGGCCTACAGCTCCAATCTTCTTCCAAAGATTATAAACAAGGCTTCGCCGAATGTTGACATTCCTCCAACAATATCAGTCCTTCCTGCTGAAAGGAGATAGTGAATGAGCCACGATGTCATGCTGCAGGGGAAACAGTGGGTTGATGCTTTATGTAATCCTTTCTCCCTTCCACTATACATCGCTTACTCCAGCTTACACCATTTAAGAATATGTTTGCTATATGCTCTTGAGACTGCCCCCTCCCTTCTACGCTGATGAAGTTCATCAACTGTTGTATCATCCTGATACATTTTGGCATTCCTGTAACATCCACAGTAGTTAACTTTGTTTAAAATAGCATTTCTTTCTCTAGAGGAAAAGACAACTGGCACCCAGGGCTGCAAATTATTTGGTGAGTCATCAGTTAATATACACATCCTGAATAAAAAAGTACTGCAGCTGCTAATTTCTGTTTACTGCTTGACAGTATGTACAAGAAAAGAAAAGGTAATTAGTATGTGCAGCCTTTTATTGGCTGGGTTTATAGATATAAATGGAAAATATGCAGTATGGCTTTTCAGGCTGCGAGCTTCTATTTGTGTGAACATAAGACAAATGTGCTCTGGGCTCTTGCTTTTCCCCTGAGCATCAACAGATAGGTTGAAAGAGGGTGGTGCAGGAAGGAGTTAGGAATTTCCATTACAGAAATAAATGATTTGTAATGGAGACACAGAGATTTGTTGGTAATATTTGTTTTTCTTTTCTCCTTTTAAATGCAATTTGCACCACAGGAAGGAAGAACCCAGGTTTAAAAATGCCTCTGACCAGTTGTATAAGCAGATAAGAGGAGATGGAACAAGCAATTCATTAAATGACACAACAAGAACTAGGATAAGGGTAAAATTCTGCTCTAATCCTGCAAGCATTCTGAGAACAAATCCCATTGAAATCAGTGGGCTTGCTCATGATAATAAAACTAAGCACATGCTTAAGTGTTTCCAGGGTCAGGGGCTTCATGGCATTCCAGCCCCCTTGCTGAAGAACAAGTCTCCCAGGTTGCCATTTAAGGCAGAATTTAGATGAAGATGGGCCCAAAGCCAGAGAGGACCTGGCTACCTGTTCTGCCTAAGCTGTAGTCCATGCAGGATCTGGTCTGGACATGAGCCACCTTTTAATGTTTTTGCATCCTGGCTCTCCCCACTCTGGCTGGTTTTGGAGCTGGGTCCTGCAATTTATGTCACTTTATTGCTTTCTATAGATTCTTTTCTTTCCAAGCCATCACATTTAAGCAAGAGATAAAAGTGAGATATTTTTATGTGGGGTCATTTTTAATAGGAACACTAATGTTCTGAAACTGTGAATGGTATCTGAAAAGGCAGTCTGAGTTATTTATGACAAAAACAAAACCAATAGAAACAAACCACAAGGCTTATTGCAAAGCTAATACTTTGGAGACAAATGTTTGTGAGTCATTCTTTGATGTTCAACTACAGGTTATTTTTTACAACTGATTTGTTTGTTATCCTATGTCTAGTTGAATCTACATGGAGAAAAATATATAAAGGGGAATTTCCTTACTGCCT